AAATACCCTGAAGGGGGGGGGGGGGGGTAGGGAGTTCTTGTGCGGGGATGAAAGTGGGAAGAAGGAGGGCGCGAAGAGTAATGTGGAGCGGGACCAGGATTTAGATGAAAGAGAGAGGGAGAGAAGCGTGGAGGGAGAGAGGATGGGAAACAGTTATGAGTGGAAAAAGAATAGGTCCGAAGAAGGGAGTGGTGAAGCTGGCATGGGTATAGCGGGAAGAGGGGGAAGCTTGCATGCATGGCGCTGGCACAAGAACAAAAAGCGCACCAAAACAGTTATGTTTCGTTCATCCGCTTCTTAAACCGATTCAAGATTGAGAAATTCAAATACCATATCCACGCGCGGGATCGGATGCTGGGAAAATCCTATGCCTATTCAGATTCTTACTGAAAATCCACAGAGCCTTCAAGGGCGAATTTGGGAGTTACCAACTGCCGAACAAAATTCCTAGCGCGCTCGCTAAGGCGTGCGTAATTCCTATGTAAGGTTGCGGATCGTCGAAAAGAACTTGCGAAAAAGTCGAAAAAGAAAAACAACAAGTCTAGAAAGGTGGGAGGACCTTGTTGGCCATTGATTCCAAGAACCATCCGTCAGCCAAAAAGAAGGCCTCTAAGGCCCGTTAGCATGAATAGCAAATTCAGGCCTTCAGAAGATCGTTCGGGTATAGAAGCTGGTACGTCACATCAAATACAGGACCACAGCCTCTAGCGACACCCCTCTCCCCCCACTGCTTTTCCAGACCTATTTCCCCTCCCAGAGCATACATTGATGGAGTTGGTATGGCAGGGACCAGGAGGGGTCCACCAAGCAAGGCTAGGGAGGGGCCGGGTAGAGAGGCGAGAGAGAAAGCGGGATGGGGTACCTACCTCCGGTCGCCGCCCCAAGTGGGGAGCCCGCCCCTCATCTCCCATCACCATTTGTTCCGACCCGCCCCTGATCCAGCTGGATTCCGGCCACTACCAGTGAGACTCAACAAGTAGGAAAGGGCGACATATACAGGATTGACTTTTGACATCCTCAGTACTTGATCATGACTGCTGGGAATCGCGACGCTGGCCTGATTTCCAGCAGGTGCTGCTCCCCACCAATAGACTGGAGCCACCCCAGGGGGGTATCACAGGTGGCTGCTTGTACGACCCTGGGGATAGACCCCTTTTCTTTGTTGTTTTAATTCCTAAGAATCAAATCCTTGAAAAAAAACTGAAAACGCTCTAAGGATCAGTCCTAATTAATTTAGGATTCCTAAAAATCAAATCCTTGAAAAAAAACTGAGAACTATCTAAGGACCAGCCCTAATTACTTTAGGAATCCCCAGCCAAATCTTCTTTGATTTTCAAAGAACCTCAGGGGGTTCTTTGAAATTTCGAGGACCACATTTGACGGAACGGAGAGGGAATACTCCGAATCTGGATGGTGGCGGTGGCCCTATTGGATGAAAGCCTGTAGCACAACTTTTCTTTTTTTTGTTCCTTTTTGTTTTGTGAATCATCTTTCTAGTAAGGAATTGTTTTGAAGACAGATGTTTTTGGAATAGTCCAACTAGGGTGCTGAAAATCCTAAATTGTTCTAAGGACTACGGCTATGGTCTTCCCCTCGTCAAGTTTTGGACAAAAGTCGACGATACCAGCTGTTCGAATAAAAAGCAACCTTATGTTCGGGGGAAGAGGGTAGTAGCAACCTTATGTTCGGGGGAAGAGGGTAGTCCTAAGTTCTTTCAGGGGGGAAACTGTGGCTGTGACACACTTTCAGTTTGAAGTAGGCAAGGAAAGACAAAGTGGCGGCGGTCTCATGGTGTGAGTTTTTTTTGTTTTTTTTTTCAATAAATGATACCCTTCAATTACGGGCCCATTGCCCAAGGCAAAAGTAACAATGAAAACGACAACTTCAAATTCAGGGGCCTCGAGGTCGCCAACTTCACTCAGCAAATGGAGCCCGTCCCCTGTGATAAAAAAGAAAAAAAAAAGAAAAAAGAAAAAAGTCTTATAATAAATAGTCCCGAAAAGTGAGGAATAAGAATGAGAAGGATATGAAAGAAGATATAAAGAAATAACCAACCAATAATTTTCTGCGCTAACAACCAAGGAATAATCAACCAATAATTTTCCACCCTAACAACCAAGGAGCGGAAACGAAAGAAACAAAGAAGACTCCATGCTAAGTCAAAAAGTAGACACCTATTTATAGCTAAAAGAGGAACAAATGCAGAAAGTGATCAGAGACTAAGCAAAAAAGGCCCAAACCTGATATCCCCAGTACATCCATCTAATTCAACCAGCGCAGGATATTAAGCTGCCCAACGCTGTTTGAACCATATGACACCAGCTGTGATACTAGTTGCCATGTGGATTTTCTGTCTCCAATCTATATATATGATTTGCCGCAGAGTTCATTTGATCCTGTGCATGACCTGGTGAACCAAAGGATTGTCTCCAGAACGTACCACATCATTTCACTGTCGCCACAACTGCGATAGTACTGTTGCTCGCAGCGATCATTCATATACATAGGCTCTGGACTTTGACAGAGAAGGCAAGATAGTACCCAGTAATATTGTGGCGTCAGTCCATAGCTCCCCCCATTCATCCGGAGTTAAATGAGCTTGTGTCCACTGTGCCCATATTGGTCGAGCATTGTCACAAGTTAACCATAGATGTCTTTGGGTCTTCCACCACATAGGCCCTATGGGACGCTGGACCCGCTTTCCAGCAGGTGCTGCTCCCCACCAATAGATAGAGCCTCTCCCCGGATGCTAGTGGTTCCTGCTAGTATCAGCACCACTAACATTCCAGGGGGCACTTTTTCCATATAAAAAAAAAAAGGCCGCTGTACATGTTGAGCAAAAAGGTGCTCCCTTTTTCCTGCGTCTATATACCATTGCCGCTGTCGGGGCAGCATTATGTGTAATGAGCCACATGAGTCCTGCATGTTTTGCCACTCTCAACCTTGTCAGTAGAGCCCAGAAAGGCTTGAGTCTGACTGTGTCGAGATATACTGCCAATGAACGCCATGTGGCAGTTATTTTGCTATCTATGTCAACAGCAGGGGTAAGGAATGAGTAAGCCAATTGTGCCAAATGACGGAAAAGAGGGACCACCTGGTCAGGCTTCTTCGGGTTCTTCCAAAACCAATCATGAGGGTCCATCATCAAGTCTTTTGCTGCTGTGTTCAGTCTGAAGGGCAGATACTCTGAGTGCAGAGTCTTGACATCTTCAAGCACACAGACAGCAGTCATACCCTGAAGGTCGGAAGTGATAGAACTCACAGTCTTCTTCTGCAACGCCACTCCCAGTCCATCGTATCCGTCTTTCACTTTCCAGCTCAAGAGTTCCCAAGTGGAGAGAGTACTCTGCGATTCCAGCCTCCACAACTGCTCCCGGAACGACTGTTCTACCGAATCTTCCTTGAACCAGGTACCAGGTAAGTAACGTTCGTCCTGCAATTCTGTGAGCCAATCTGGAGGAATGGCTTTTAAAAGACATGCATAATTATGCCCCCAATTTCGAAGTCTTCGCAATTTGTCTTGCAGTCGATGGTTAGTCTTCCAAGTTTTGCTGTCACTATCCCATAATTGTGAAATGGTAGCCACTCCTTTTGACATCCATGCTTGACCAAATGCACTCTCCCCAAGGATTGGGAACGGGTGTCCGTCCAACTGTTGGATATGGGGATTGTTAAAGAGAGGCTGCGGCTGAATGGGGGAGCTCTTTCAGCATCGGTGCCCGTGTCCGCTGTCTGGTCAGGTTGCTCCACTAGAGAGTGATGTTCCT